CCCCCCTCCCGATAATTATTGCACAGTCCCTTATCACTGACTGATAAAAAATCGTTCGCGTAATGTTTAGTCATTATATATGCTATAATTTAACACTGTTATAAGGTATGTTTCTTTTTCGTGCACATGACATTTCGTTACTGAGAAAGGTAATCAAAATGCTCTTCAATAATCATCTATATGTCATCATCAGTTGTACTTTTTAACACTAAAAATATCAATAGATTTTCATGAAACTTCAGATTCTTTGGAAATAGATGTTCATCATTCTGTCGGAAATCTATCGAGCCCATTTTTGTTATACTGTTCCCCCCCCGAGAAAAACTCGATATATCCAAAGTATCTCCGTGACGGACAAACGCTTTATCTTACTCTTGTTCGTGCTCACTTTGGATACGCATCACAAATATGGGCACCACAGTCTGTTGAACTAATATCAAGAGTTGAGAGGACACAACGACGTGCCACAAGATACATTCTCAAAATGCCATTCTCATCCACCGTCTCTTACTGTTCGAGATTGAAAACTCTGTCTTTACTACCAATAACTTACTGACATGAATACGTTGACATGATTTTTTTCTTTAAACTAACGCACAACCTGATACACCCTAACCCTAAACCCTAATCTACTACCTGTTCCTCGACGTACATGACCAACAAGATCATCAAACAGTAATGTTGTCAAGTACACAGTACGTCAGTGCAAGACCTCTACGTACCAGAAATCCTATCTCATCAGGACAACTGACTAGAATATGGAACGCTCTCGCTGATGAACTAAATCTGAACATGGACAAACTCAACTCATTTAAACGCGCCATGTTAAGTTACTACGTAACGTCACTGGACAGTTACAACTGTTACGACCCACGTACTTTCAAAACAGTTTGTTTAAAATGTAACTCTTGCAGAGGCCTCACTCTTGCTACCTCCTGTTGTTAGTTATTCAAATGTGTCAATATATCTACTTAAATTATCTTTATGCACTAAGTTTCATTTAGACATTTTTTGGGCCCGCAGTAATTAGCTTAACGCTGTTGCGTTCACCCTGTCATATATATCACAGTATTTTTCAGTTTAATATATGGCGAAACTAATAAATTAAATAGCGCAGCGCAGCCGTGACGTCATAAAAACGAAGACAAGGCGAAATTCTGACAAACAACAGACTCGTACCCAGTCGCTTATCTTGTCTTATTGATCTCACGCTGTGATTGATGGGAAGGATTTAGTGAGTTCCCGGTGCATCAGGGGAAGATTACTGAATTACTGATTACTCTCCTTCCAAAAAGGCACCGCGCGCAAAAAAGCCTGAAACAAATGACAACTGGGTTCGAGTCTGGAGAAACAAGCTTACAAGTTTACTTTCAGCAGATAATTTTTATCGCAGTTGATCTTAGTTTACATGGGTCATTATTGTAACTTTAAGTAAAAATAATAAAATCGGTTCGTATGATCCTCGTAGCGGTTAAACAGAATGCAATGTTTGTCCGAATCTTTAAGCTATTTTTAGGATCAGTGCTCTGCGCTATTAAATTTACCATAAATAAATAATAATAATAATTTACCTTTTCATCATTACTGCATAAATAAATAAAGGAATTCAAGTGGTCTTCCTGTGTCGAGTCAATAATTGTCCGTTACAGTCGAAAGATCTTCGGAATTGCGTCGTGCCTTGTCTCTATAGTGCTCATCACATAAACAACATGGCGCACTCTAACTCCAACATGCTATCGTATTTTCTTTATTTATAACTTGAAGAAATATGGACGAAGTACCTATTAAAGTCGCTGTACGGGTAAGCACTCCCTCGATTTACTATTAAGCTTCAAAATTTTAGGTTTAAATGCTGGAAAACCTCGAAATTCGTTTATTGTCATTGCGGCATAAATGTTAATAACCCTAGTTATTTTCCTCTTCTTGCAAACGTGTTTCTTTCTCTCGCTCGGCAGAAATTAAAGGAAACTCTGCCAGCGGGGTACATAACGTTATATTAGTTAATGACAACCTTCCAGTAGCCTTTCTTCTTTCCTTGACTGATTTTTGGTCGTATTTGATTATATTGTTGTACGAAAATGCGGATGAGCTTCGTTTGTAACCAAACACCAGACCAGGAATCACATATAGTGTACTTGACAAACATGATAGTATTTACATATATGTATTACCCAGTTTGATTTTAACAATGTAGCTCAGCAAATAGAATATTTTAATATATATAAGCTTATATATAAAGATATGAACGAAGTAACAAAAAGTTGTCTATTTCATTTAACCAGGATGCTATTTAAATTATTTGAAAACTATAAAGCTAGCTTTGCTAGTACAACTGTCTATGAAACCTAATTTTCTTTAACTTTAGCCCTTATGTCATTTAATAGTTGTATATTTTGTAAGAAAAAAACAGCTCATTTAAGTCCTCGTTGGCTTAGTTGCATTGGATGTGCATCAGTTCAATTAAGCCCCACCAGACCAACACTTGGGGTCCTAAATATCTGAATAGAGGTGTCTTCCTTAGTTTGCTATAAACATACATATAGTTCTTATTAACCAAGTGCGAGGTCTGTACCATAAATTATGGACTGAGTTTTTTCCACTGCCTTATGGCCCAAGCATGTAGCGTGAGGGCCATTAAAAATGTGGGGAAAAACGAGGATCCATAGTTTACTGTACGGACCGAGTAAACAAGGTTAATAAGAGCTATTTATTATATTGCAAGCCAATGAGATTAAAAAGAGGCGAAGCAACAAAAAGTAAAGTTGACAGCGCATGTCAAATGAGAACTGCATTGGAAGGGCTTCCTGTACGTGCCAAAAGTCATGTAGTGTTTGAGTCACTCAGAAAGAGAGGTTTTAGTTTACTTTGAATGAATTTAGTTATAGTTTAAAGTTTTCTGAAATACTAGTTAACAAAAGTGAGGCTTTCTTTTGCAAAACATTAAATGCAAAGCAAAAAAGGCATCAAAAGAAGACCTCAAGAACTCAACATGAGATTGAGAAGAAAACTGTCATACTTCAAACTTCCTTTAGACTTCAAAATATTCACAACCAAGATGAAAAATACTACAGCCTTCTGTTTGTTTTCCTGCCATTTCTTAGGGGGGGGACTCAAAATTTCCCCGAAATGAATGAGAAGCTTTTGAAAATTACGGCTTGCTGAACATGGATAGGTTTTCGTCACTTTTCAACGTTTTGACTGTTTTGAAGTAGGCCACCATATGCACAATGGCTGAAGTCATGAAAACAGCACACTTTCGACTTGATTAAAAAAGGTACTGCCAACTCTGCTGTCGAAAATGTGGATGAAATATTACTGGAATATGGAAATACTTCAAGAGCAGATGAGCCTAGAAACTGCTTAAAACGTTAACGAAAGAAACCACTGGCTTCTTCAACTGATCGATTCAGATAAGTTCACACTTGACGTTGTAAGCCTACTGAAATAACAAATTTATTCTTCTTGTAAAACTATCTTTACTTCATTTACTGAATAAGCCGCTATTCACCAGCCTTTAGTTTTTAGTTTGGCCTAGTTTTAGTTTCATAGTTAGTTTTTCAAGTTTTTCTATTCATACAAAATCACTCGACTAGTGTTGTGTAGAGCCTTAATTAAAAGAGCTGTCGTTTGTATGATAAGTTTTACATTAAATGCCTTTTGACTTTCAGCTATTTTTAAATGGTATATTAATGTTTTTCATTGATTTTCATCCGTAAAAGTTTTTTATCACGAAGACTTTCAATGTTTTTGAAAAGATCATATTAAGTCAGTACACTCTGTACTGCAAGTTACATGTATGGACAGCAAATTGGCCAATCATAGCACATGAAATTACCATGCCATATAATAAATTGGTTTATTACATAAAATAGGGTTCCCTTGTCATAATGAGCTGTGGTTGTCACATGTCATCTGCCTAAATTAAGTTAATTTTATTTATTTATGCTTCCAGTTATATGATTGTAGTAAAAACCCAGCACCAGCTATGTTACTTGTAAAACAGACTTATTGTATACTGTTAATCTTTAGGTTCGTCCTTTGATTGGTCAAGAGAAGGTGCATAATGTTGGGCAGTGTGTATATTGTGTCCCAAGCAAGCCACAATTGGTCCTTGGAAAAGACAGGGGTTTTACCTTTGATTTTGTTTTTAACCCAGCAACATCACAAGTAAGATATGCATGTTATATAGAAGTTTTTACACTGCTTGTTGTGTATTACTTTCACAGACATCAGCAAAAATAACTGTTTCAAAAGTGGTTCACAGACCGTGTACTATCGTTTTGCACTCGAAAAATTGTCGTCATATGCAGGAAATTTAGTGTGTATGATAAAGGTTAATAAGCCCAAGCACAGGGACCAAATTTAGATAGTATTTACAGTACATTGTGATTATATCCATAGGGGGAATTGTACGTACTAAAAAACCCTTAATAGACACATATACAGTATTATACGATGTTTTTTTCTGTTTCTTTTTTTTGTAATTAATACAATACCTACTTTATTTATTTATTTATTTATTTATTTATTTATTTATTTATTATTTATTTATTTATTTAACTTCCACTGAGGAAACTGAATAATAATAACAATTTATTAGACAAAGTATAAATACACAGGTGATTATTGAAAATATCGCGCGCTGATTTGTTGAGAAACTCATACTATCACATGATGATCAACTCCAGTGATAATCCAAAATGGTGGAAGGCCACTTCGTTGCTGTTACCGGAAAAAAAATGTCTTTTATCTTCTTTTTTTTCTTTTTTTCTTTTTTTTTTTTTGAAAGAATTACCTGTGTATTTATACTAATACAATTATTTGCCTCAGCCTCAGTGAATATGGGAGAATATAACATTTACCTTGCCGCTCGAAGACTCGCGTCTTGGTAAATATTCCCCAATATTCACTTGGCCTTTGGCGAATAATTGTTAATTATTGAAACAAATTTTTTTTTTAATTCTCCAAGGTTCCAAGGATTTAAATGTACTAGTTACTGTATATAGTCGGAATTATATGAACCGTGTTTACATTAAAAAAGATAGGTTCTGCACCTCAAAAGACTGATAATCCAAAAAACAACTAGGACGAGTGGATCTACATGTAACTATATGACTTTAGGTTGTATAGATTCTGAAATATTGAAATTTAATTGTTAGGTTGAGGTATATGAAGCATGTGTCGAACCTTTAGTCAAGAGCTGTCTCCAAGGATACAATGCAACAGTATTTGCCTATGGACAAACGGTAAAAATGTGCAGTTCTATAAGATTATCAATACACCTCCTCTTCTACATTAATGAATGTAAGGACTCCAATACCAGCCACCAAGAGTCTCTTACAGCACAAGATGGAAGTTTATGAGGGTCCCTGGCATGTGATAATGTGAGGAGTGGGTGCACAGCACTTACATTTCACCCTAAAGATACTTCTGGCTTGTATTATATAAAAAACATCAACCCAAAAGAAGCTTAACCCCACTTAAATACTTGTGGAACATTATATACTTCCACCATATAAGTCTTTACTCTAACAATATTTTTCAATAAAATGCATAGAAAACTCATTCTGATGGACGTCAAATCAAGGCATATCCATGACATAGGCACATATGCTTTTCTTTTTTTGTTCTTTTTTTAATCAATTCAACAGAAATACTGGTTGATGTCCATAATATCAATATACCTTTGTCATGATGTCAAATTGTATGATTCAAATATTAATTGTGATTGGTTGTCAGGGTTCTGGTAAGACATACACTGTAGGCGGCATAGATACTGGAGTACTCAGGGACAGTGAATTAGGCATCATACCCAGAGCTGTCAAACAAATATTTCAAAATATTGAGGTATGATTTGTTGACATTATTATCATACAAGTTACTTATATTGAATCTGTCTTTGGATGATCATTGTACGTATTAAATTACGTACATAGCAAATAAATGACAATGGTCATGCACATAGATGCAAGTACACATATTTTTATAAGAAACAGTATTTGTCATTAAGTACGTGTATTAGGATTTATAGATATATCATATTGCAGCTGTATGCCATAAAAACTCTGATTTCATTCACAAAATAACTTGTAGAATGGTGGAAAGGGGGCTAAAGTCTACAAGATTTCAGGGCTCTGCTGTCCCTGACCTGCCCTATTCATTCCTCGTTGGGTTGTTTTTTTATTCCTCCATATTCATTCCTATATTCCTCTATCTCTCTCGATGATAAAGTAGAGTCCCTGTGTTTTGAAATCATGAAGCCAAATAGCAAGTCTTTTGCCGTTTTAGCCTGTTATAGGCCTCCTAACTATGATACACGCTCATTTTTCAATATATTT